GACCGAGCTGAGGGACACCAAGGTCAGCTTCTGGCGGAGGTACCGCCAACGATTTCCCCCGGAAGTGCATCCGTCTGACTCCACCCTCTCGAGGGTGAGCCGAGAGATGAGCAAGCGGATGCTGTGCGTGTTCTCCATATGGAAGGTCAAGTCCTTGCAGTTTCAATTGATGACTACGCAGAAGAAGCGCAAACTCGGCGACAACTTGTTCACTGAGGAAGTTGAAGAAGAAGAGCCGTCTGCCCGTGACACCGAGGCCTATTTGGACAAGTTGCAGACGTTGATGGTGGCGTACGCCATGGCAGGGGTGGGACCTTTGCCTGCGCCAGGGCCAGGGTTTGATCCCAAAGAAGAATTGACTTTGGGAGCAGACAGCACTCGATTCGCCCAAGTGCCACTGGACATCGCAATGCAATATTTCTTTCGAGCGAAACGAGCCACTGCCGCACTCCCTCCAGGCAAGCGGCTGGCATGGCTCCAAACCCGTGATGCCGAAGAACGGGCAGAGTGGACGGCACGCTTTCGGGAAAGCTCTCAGTCGCTCGGCGTCATTATTAAAGAAGTCTACCAAGCGCGAGATGCACACTGGCTGCCGCCCACACCAGCAGAGCCAGCGTCCACCGCCCCGGGTAAGAGCGCTCCGCCAGCAGCCGCTCCAGCGGCCTCCAAGTTTGCATTGGGGAAATCGATCCAAGGCAAACAAGTGGCCAGGGTACTCCGTGATGGGACGCTCCTTTGCCAGGCATTCCAGGAAGGATCTTGCAAGAGTAAGGGGGGCAAATGCAAGCTTGGCCAACATCGTTGCGGCCACGTTACCAAGAAGGAGCGGGTGTGTGGAGCTCCGAACCATGGGGCAGCAGCTTGCCGCAACACCCCGAAGGCCTGACGGGGCCTTGAAGAGGCAGCGGCAGCCTCTTCAGGGTCTGTTGAGGATCCGCCGCAATCAGGGGAGGGACCCCTGATGGCCGACCTGATGTCAGGACCCAATGCACCGCTTACCAGAGCCTTCATCTTCTGCGGCTGGAGATGCATCACCATCGACTGGTTGATCAACCCTCAACATGACCTCGCGCACCCGGAGTTTCAGCAAGAGCTTCACGAGATGTTGCAGCAAGCCGATTGCATCTGTGCCGCTTTGGACTGTAGCACCAAGTCCCGCGCTCGAGAGATTCCCAGGAAGTTCGAGGACGGCCGACCCGCTCCGAAACCCCTGCGGTCAGACGAACACCCCACAGGCCTTCCACACCTCCGAGGGAGTGACCTTCGGCGAGTGACCAAGGACAACCAGGCCTATGACTTTGTCCTCCAGGAGATCCAGGAATTGGCCGATCGTGGTGGAGTGTCACTGCGGGAGAATCCGGCGAGGAGCCTCCATTGGGAACTGCCCCGCGAGAAGCAGATGTTGGCGTCCGGCGATTGGCAGGACACCTGCTACGCAGCATGTTGCTTCATGGGGGCGCGGTGCAAGCAGCAGAGACTCAGGCACAACATCCAGGAGATCTCCCAGTGGCCGCCGCTCCAATGCCATCATCAGCACGACCCAGATGAGTGGAAGCCCTACACCTTGGATGGGCAGCGAGTCTTCCCTAGCCATGAGGAGGCTGAGTACACAGCCCCGCTGGCCTTCGCCATTGCGGTGTCCACTAGTTGGTGGGCAGTACGTGTTGGTCGGGCCAAGTTGCGCGTCCCTCGGATGCCGCCGACTGAGGCTGTGGGCCGCCGGGAGCACTGGCTTCACTATGACCCCCGCTCTATGCGCAGCTGGGCTATGACTCCTTTGGCGATCCAGCTGGGTCTGCGACCAATCGACCCGCGCGAGCGAGCACGGGTGCCTCGCGTTCGTCGAGCAGTCGACCTCTTGGTGGATGGCCACCTTCCCGCCAAGTGCATCTACGTAGGGCGAGGGCATCACAGCCACAAGTTGCCCCTGTCGAAATGGTGCTCTCCGTACACCCCAGGACATGATTGTACCGCAGATGAATGGCTTCCTTGCTATGTTGAGTTCATCATGTCATCCAAGGCGGCGGAACTCCCAGAGCTGGCGGGCTGCACTTTAGCCTGTGATTGCCCACATGACAGTGACATTTGCGAAGCCGATGCGCTGGCAGGGTTGGTTTTTGACGCCACAGCCCCGGAAGCACCTCGCTACTTGGCAGCGGCAGGCGGGCAAGCCCAGAGGCATCACTCGACAACATCTCGAGCATTGCGGTTGGGGGTCATCTCCAGCCGCGGAGTGGCTGCGAGCATCCCAGCACGAGTGGGCCTATTCACCCAAGAAGGCGTTGTTACGTGCTTCCGCCGCCTCTTCCCAGGTACATGGTTCCAAGACTTCAAGTTCCCGATGATCGAAGACCTCCTGAATCAGGCACCGTTCTGCGAGTTTCCACGCTGGAGAGACCGGTACGATCTCAAGGCAGATGGGCCCCTGGGACCACACTTGGCTAGCGCAGCTCTGAGGCAGAGGCAACGTCATGCCGAGGGCCAGCAAGCCGGAGCTTTGAGCCATAAAGCCGCCCTACCTCCGCTGTTGAGTTTTGGGCTGGACCCGGACACCCACTTTCAGCGTGCTTGCCTTCGAAGCCAGGCACCCATCCCGACTGAGCAGTCGCCCCTTCTGGACGATGATCTATGGTTTGTGGCTGAACTCTATGCATCACGTTCCAAAGACCTACCACGACTCCGCGAGCAGAGCCTAGGCATCTTGAAGGAGCTGAAGCAGCGATGGAAGAGCGTGGGCGAGCACCTGCGGACTTTCCAAACATCAGCGATTCGGGCAGTCACCCGTTCCAGGGACATCGGACTAACAGCCCTCTTGGTGACCCTAACGTCCTGGGCGGATATCACGTACCCTTACGGCTTGGTAGCGGGACTGCCAGCTGTAGGTACGGCACCACCCTACGGGGTCTTTCCGGAGCAGCCAGGTCGTATCCTCACCATGGAGGACGTGCTCGACGACTGGGAAACCCACAATTACAAGACCCTCGCCTCGCTCAAACCCGGCAGACATGATGCCGTGCTGCTGGAGCAATCGCTGAATGATGCCGCCCAAGGCTTCTGCTCTGCACCGTTGACCCAGGCGCAGCTCCTACGAGAACTACGAGGAGAACCATTCCGCCTCATCCCCCGATGTGTGATTGTCCAATCCTCGGGCAAAAAGCGGATCATTGATAATGGAGATACAGGAGGCCAGTCTGAGAGGTCTTCGGATTGGAACAAATTGGTTCTATGCTCGCCGTTGCGCCCTGCACAACATGTGGGGGCGGTTGCTTCACTGCTGACAGACCAACAGTGGCACACTCTTACGACTGCTGACGAGTGGCTGTCAGGAGGGGAAGATTGGCCGAACGCGTATCGGCATTCCCCTATCAGTCAGGCAGAGAGCCGCGGCTGTATCGTCTGCTTCTGGCATGCTGAGCGGGGGGAACCCGCCTTTCAGGTGTATTCATCCCTCCTCTTCGGCCTTCCGCTCGCGGTTACATCGTTCAATCGGTATTCCCGCCTCATTGAAGCACTGGGCCGACGGCTTACATACAGTCTGGTGTCGCTCTATTTCGATGATGCCGACATCACGGACCTCCAGTCAGGCTTCGGCTCCAGCCAACAAGCTTTCTGTCAGTTGAACACCCTCTTAGGTACCCCGTTTGCCGAGGAGAAGAAACAGTTGATGCAGCCTACCGGTACCTTTCTGGGCCTTGATCACGACTTTACGAACCTCAGTCGGGGCTTCGTGACGTTTTGGGCCCGAGATCGATTGATTCAGAAGACAGCTGCGATGATTACCGAAGCACAGGCACACAACAGCCTGTCCTCAGGCCAGGCATCCAAGCTCTACGGCATGCTCAATTTTCTCGAGCAGGGCATGTACGGAAGGTTGGGATGCGCAGGTCTGGCAGCCATTAAAGCACGCCAGACAGAGCGCAACCGCGACCTCACTCCAGAGCTTCAGCGCAACTTCGATGTGATTCACTCCATTCTTCGCCATCGACCCTGTCGAGAACTTCCCGTGAGGCCGTCCGAATGTTTGCGGTTTGTTGTAGCTTCTGACGCAGCTTTGGAGGAACCAAAGCAGGGCACAGGAGGCTTTTTAATCGTCTGGCACGATCCGGTGGGACCGGTTCGGGAAGCCTTCATCGCCAACATTTCTCCGGAAGTTTACCAGCTGTGGGAGCCTGGTGACAGGCAGATAGCCCAGTTGGAGATGGTGATGATCATTTATGCCCTCACATATCGGGCGCAGGCCTTTCGAGGTCGTCGAGGCATCTGGCTGATCGACAACGTCGCTAGCCTCATGTGTCTGATTCGGGGCCGTTCCCAGTCACCCGATCTGGAGCGCATGTGTGGTTTGATTCATGTCATGCTGTACGCTTTGCGTACCTGGATGTATTGGGAATACATTCCGTCTAAGAGTAATTGGGCCGACGCAATTTCAAGACTAGGTTGGTCCGATCCGTGGTGGCGAACCAACGGATTCACCCCTTTTTCCGTCTCTTGCCCTCTCTGCCTTTGGCACCTTCCGCTGCCAGCAGTGATCCGAGTCGTAGAATTTCTCTAAGTGCGTTGGGAGGATTTGAAGTGCATTGGGAGTGGTTTCCGGAGTGACCGGAAGGATACCACAAGGGTCTGATT